TTTTCTGTGATTTTGTTAAATCCATTTACAGTTCTAGCTAAGAACGCGTTATCTGTTTTTTTGATATTTTTTAAGTCGGAAAGTTTTTTTATGTAATTTTTTGCAGTGCCAGTATCAAGAAGTTTATTTAACGTTTCACCGTTGTTTAGTTTCTTCCTGACAATGCAATGGCAATGCCGAATTTACCCTAAAAAATTAATCTCATCAGCATATTCAGGATTGTCGGATGGATCTTCGTGTTGTTGCTGCACCACATTTATGCGTTGTACTTTTGCGGGTGACTGCCTGTCTGATTCCCGCTGCCTCTTTGTTGTGTAACTAGGAGACTTCGCTAATTGTGTCCTGTTGGACGGGACCTGTGTTTGTGGTGCAGAATTGAAGCGGTATTTAGAAGAAGTTGAATCTATGTCCATAGGAGTTGGTTTGTTATGTTCACCACTATTTGGAACATACTTTTCACGCATATCTTTTCTATATTGCGGATTTGTGCGCATTTGAACCGTTCTAGCTTTTTCCTGTTCTGCATCAAAAACTCTAGCGAATTCATACCTTTTCTGATTCGCCTCCAACTCCTGTGCCTTAGCTAAAGCTGAAGGCAAGTCCTCGCAACCTACCGAAAACAGAATATCACACCACGGTTTTCTTAAACCAGAAATAAATACGCGCAATGCATCCTTGCGGTATTTTTCGGCTAAGGCGTTTACTAGCGGGTCATTTCCCGAAAACTCCATGGTGACTGTGCTTATTATCAGCGAAGGACTCTTTTCCAGTTCATCATAAAACTCAGAAATAGTCTTGCGCCCCTGCCGCTAAACACTCATTTGGTTTTCTAATATATGCAGTGGTCTTTTGTCAGCGTAGGTATGGTCTAGACGTGCAATAATTGCATCAAAGTTTAATACTGTATTAAATGATGCAAGCACCAAATTCGCTGACCCTACTATTTTATTCCGCATGATAGGTATCGCCTGAAATGGCCTTCGTATCGCCTAAATAAGCTTATTGCCGTGTGAGCGGCTTGACGCCATGAAACATATTTAGCCTGTTCACCAGAAAATTCAGGCAGCGATTTGATAATGTCCAATGATATTGGACACACTGCGTCTGGGTTATTCACCTCAATAGGTTGGTAGGCAACGATTTTGGGGGCCTTTAGTTGCAATGTATTTACTAGTCCCGTCAACTCGTCTACTTTTTCCCTTAACGCACTATTTGCCTATTCATGCGATTGCATCATTGATGCCATCCTACTCATTACGGCCGTGCATGCCGTTTCTACAGCCATTTGTACTGTTGCTGCGATTTGTTCAGTCATTTTGTTAACAACTGTTTTTTTCACTTTTCACTACACCACTAGGATACCTTAAATCCAAAAAAAAAAGTTGATATAACTCACTTAACTTATACAATCTTAATTGTAGAACCAGTGTTTTACTTGTTCACAATGTTTTCTTAAATATAATGCACTGACTTACACTAAAATGAAATACATTGAATAAATTACTGCACTCTGCCGCTTGCTTCCAAAATTATCCCGGGGGTATTTCTTGAATCACCGGCTGCTGCTTATACCCTTTTCTCTATAAGGATTTTATGTCCTGTGGGTATTTGTTTGTTTTACTGCTGATCCGTTTTCTCTATGCGAATATATGCGGATTTCCCCTGTGGGCGCCAGATATTTTTGGTTGTCAAATCAAGACTGGCTTTATTTGAATATTCATATTCTAATCTACCTATGCTACCTCTTAATTCTATTTCTTATTTTCTAATTTCTTAAAGCTAAATTGTTGACGCTGCATTTGTATTCACATTTAGTCACGTACATGCATTCGTTCCCACGTTTGTACATTTGCTGCTGCTGCTATTGTTGCTGGTGTCAAGTGGCACATTCCACTACATATGTTAACTTACACAAATTTTTACTCAGTGAGTTATTATCTTTTACGCATTTTTTAGACATCATTTCGCTCATATGCAACAATACCGGCATACCGCACATCCAATTCGATTCTAGCAATGAGGAGATTTCCAAGGGAAAATTTAATCATCAGATGACGTTGAATGTGTACCCGACGCAACTAATGCTCTCTAAAGCCTACGCAGATATCGTACAAACGTTCGGTTGGAGAAAATTTACAATTGTGTACGACGGAGATGATAGTAAGATATTAATTGAAAATAGGACTGCGAGTAGCATACTTAGTTTAAATTTTTTACAGGACGAGCTCCAGCACGACTCCAAGATCTATTGCAACTTCGCGATATTCACAACGATGTACTGCGTGTTCGAATATTCAAACGCGGAGATGATCATCGAGTCATGTGGAAAAGTATTAAAGGTGAACGACGTATTTTATTGGACTGTCAGCCTGATTTGTTAACTACTTTGTTAAATTCTTCTATTGAATTCGGACTGACCGGACAATTCAACGTGAGTTTATATATATTCGCACTGTAGATCGTTAGAAAATAAATAGTTGTTAAGCTCTACACAGAATTGCAGCGGACGACGGTAAAGCGGTCGACGTTTAACCGCTGTCAAAATTAAAACTCACAAAGGTATATGGAATGGCTCATAATTGCGGCGGCAGCATTTTTACCGTCGACGTTATTCGGTTGATTTCAATTTATTTCTACTTTTACCGCCCAGTGGGGATGTTGATTGAGTGTTGATTGTAGTAACTTTTTGATTTTTTTCACAAGTTGGCTAATGTTTTCTTACATTTTTATTTCCAGAAAATCTACAAACACGCACGTACCGAAAATATATTTAATTTTACTGATAATTTTCAAATCGAAATGACAACTGACGGAAGCCATCGTGCGCCGCAATTGTGTTTACTCTGACGGATTTCACTGCGGGAACTGTTCAGCTGTTCACTTACCGCCACGCGCTTTAACGTCGTCCGCTGTAATTGTGGGTAGAGCTTTACTCTTCCCCAATCGAATCAAAATTTTTTAATTTTTACGCAGATGTTTTCAAAAAAAGTTTGAGTTCCCAAGAAAAACTCTATTTTCAACGCCAAAAGACTGTAACCTTTAAAACAGAAGAATTTTTTAAAAATCTAAGTATTTTACTATACTAGCGGACCCGGCGATCTACGTTCCGCCCAAAATTAATTTTTTTATTGAAACGTTTTGGTCATCGTACAGTTTCCTAAGTAAAAACACCATCAGCTGATTGCCGAAAAACGCCTACAGCTGAGATCACCTGTTTTTTGGCATTTGCTCTTATATTTTACAATTTCTTTCATTTCTATTGCAATTTCTTCCATTTCTATTACAACTTATTCAAAATAAACTAATACATTGAACCAAAACCACCAATATACTAACCAAAAACACACCTACAGCCTGCCAGAAAAACGGTAAGCAGAAGAGTTACTTGACTTGTGGAACTGTACGATGGTGTTGGTTCAACATTTTCACCAACAATTCAAGTTCGCTATTTCCAGTGGCACATTTCCACTCAGCAGCAAAACTGTGCGTACGATAATCCATTTCAAGCGTTGTTAACATAAATTACTATGTATCCAGCGTTGTTAACTTAAACTATTATGTACCTAATTCATTACATTCTTGAGAATTTCTGTTGCTGCAGTGCACACTGGTTCGGATCGCAAATCTAGCTGGACGAAACTATTTAAACAAATACTCGTTGATGGATCTTTACACCACTTCTTATCTAGGGGATTTTTGGGTCGCTGATTACGAATCTGAAGTCACTTATCCAAAATTCAAAACTGCGGATCCAATATGGCGGACGAAAATTAAAAAAAATCGGTAGATTTCTATGAAACTGGGTTACCGGGGGTTTTCTGGGTCGCTGATTACATATATAAAGTCATTTACCAAAAATTCAAAATGGCGGATCCAATATGGCGGAAATTAAAAAAAAAAATCGGTAGATTTCTATGTAACTGGGTATCTGGCGGTTTTCTGGGTTGCTGATTACGAATCTAAAGTCATTTACTTAATTATTCATAATACATAAATACTGTCATCAGTGATATTAATGTTACCTTATATAACGACAAGTAATAAGTCCCAGATGGTTTCTAAAATCACAAATTAGTTTTTGTGCAAATTGCAGATAGAGGGTATTAATGAATTCAAGCCCTCGATATTTCACATTTTTATATTTGTAAGTTATTGGAAGCAGGGATGCCAACTTGGCTCAAACCGTGCCATTTGTTCCTATTTTACTTCAAATGGCACTTAATTTTTCAATTTGGCACAAAATGCCAAAATGGCACTTTTGTAAAAAAAAATAACATTTCAATACATTTTTGTGAAATCCTTTGCGTGTACTTCTTTTTCTCAACTAATATTTTCTAATTTATAAAGGCTTTTCAACTGGTTTATCTTATTTTATCATTGCACTTTTGTTTTGAAAATGTGGCTTTATTTTATTGCTAAATGTGAATGATTAAAAGGAATTACACCTTTTTTTAGCACTTTTATTTTTCTATTTGGCACATTTTGGCACTTTTTTATCCTCAATATGGCACCTCATAACTAAGGAGAGTTGGCAGCCCTGATTGGAAGATTTCTGTGTGTTTTGAGGCAACAACTTGTCTGCAGTAAAAAAGCATATAATTTGTGTTTCAAAATGTGTGAAAACCAATCAATTAACTTATATGATCTCGGTTCCGATATTAAATAATCAATAATTGTTTATACCCGCATTTTGGCACATTGGCTCGTTGAATGTGCCATCTAATAAATAGTGTCGTCGTTCTCCTTAGCTGCTTTTAAATGACTGCTGGCGGAGACATAAATACAGTGTAAGAAAATTCTTTTTCTGTAATTGTTTCCTTATAGAAAGGTTGGGTTCTTTTCCACCTTAGACATTCCGAATTCGTTCAAAATATGCTAATTTAAAACACAGAATTCTTTCAGTGCTGCTCCGGGGTTTTTGGACATGTACTGTTTCTTCAATTTAATAGTGTTCGCTTTATTTTTGTAGAAACGAAAAATGTTTTGCAAGTTATGGATCATTTCTCCACTCTTTCTTCAAATATTTCTCGTATTCCAGCTGTGCGCAGGCGTTTAGTTTTTCGCATCGTGTTTTTACATATTCGTAATTTAAATTTTTTTTAATATACTCAATTGGTGGTAGTTCATGATTGTGTGTGGATTAATATCACAACACTGAGGATTTGGCAAAAGCCTTTTTCATCTATTAAAAAACAACACTTACGGGGCAATGTTTATTGTAAGAACAACATTTTTTTCTTTGAATCGACATACTTTAAGCATTGTTGACGCTATTTCCATTTGAATGAGGAAATAGCGTCAATGACTTTACTTCCAAATTTTTGTTGACTTTATTTCGCTTTTGAAAAGGTAATAATGTCAATTGACCTTATTTCCATTGACCTTATTACCTGTCACCAAAAATTTACAACAGCGCTTAAAGATTTGCATGCCTGTTGTATAATTTTTTAATTTCAGAAAGCAGAAAATTAGCGAGTTACTATTTTTTTTAACTCTTACATAACCAAAGTTTTTATAACTCCCAAGTATTTTTCTGTTTTAACACACAAACCCTCCCCTACCCCCCTCTTCACCGTGGATCCGCCACTGATCTTATATTTATATTCAGATACATTCCTGTTAATAATTACTTTTGAATTTTGAGATTTGACATACTGTCACTAAAATGTAAATATCTAAGCCAATTGGTTAGACTTGGTTATCGAACTTACCCTCTGCATTTGCGAAGGTGTAAATAATAATATGCAAGTGGTTTTATAACGGCCTTCGGCGGCCTTTACTTTTCCTATTCTTTAATTTATCTTTTTAATTAATCAAAACGACGATTTTTCAGAATAAATTTGCTTATACCAATGTGGACATAAATTGCGTTTTGACCTCTGAATCTATAGCGGAATAAGTGTAAGTTTTTGTTTATAAAGATAATTTGCAATTATGCAAATATCTGTGAGTGCAATTAGCAATATTTTAAGTTAAATTTCAGCTTTTAAAATTGTGTTCTCAAATAGGCGGCGTTGACTTACCTTTTTTTGTTTGTTTTCATATGTTAATGCTTTTATAAATGCAATTTCTATTTGAATGTATTGTCATAAATGCAATTTCTATTTGAATGTATTCCAAGCACCATTAAGTATTTTAAAAACAAAAAAATTTTGACTTTCGTCCAGCTAGATCTGCTATCCGAACCACTGTACAGTGGTATGCTGGCGAATCCTACGTTCCAATAAATTCCATACATGGTCGAAAGGATTTTAGTCAGATGACGTGGACGAGTTTGGAGCTATTTAGAGTCGTTATATAATAACCAAAGCTTCGTAACTTGTGCATTGTGATTGATGTCGTTGTATTGTTCAAACAAATAATCGGACCCCCATCCTAATTTGTCGACTGTTGGCTTAATATTATCTTTCCAAATGCTCAAATACATTTTGTGGTCCACAGCTGTCGGTATAAGTTCTAAGTTTCCTATTCCTTTTGCGCACATGCAGCCCCAAACCATTAGGGGTATTCTCGAGGTCTTGCACAATGCAAGGATTGGACGAAATGTAAAAATACTATTCCAAATTTGGAAGAGTGCGAGAGCACCCCATTGGAAAGTGGTAGCATGCATAGGTAGCAAGCAGCGAAATTCTGTATCAAATACAATAACAAGATACAGCAAAAAAATGAAGTGAGCGAGATGAGAAGAATGAGAGAAATATGTAGTAATTCCAACAACTAAACAACTAGGACAGGGTCGCATTTATTTTGTTATGTTTTTTTGCTAAATATATACATGGGTTTCGACGTTTCATATTTTGCAGCGATAGGAAATGGTGTCCCATATATTTCGTTGTTGTGTGTTTGCAATCCGTGCTACGTGCAACGGCTTTGCAAGATTCTCAGAATACCCCTATTACTCCGCTCCGCCACAAAATATGTAAATAAGCCCAAGGTGTTCCTGAATAAATCCACTTTCACGGAAAATTATGCATTTTTGACATTAAAGGAAGGGAACTTGTGTGGAGAAGACCAGGAACCGCCCTCGATGTCCAAATCTTTAAACCTACTATGAAACATGGTGGAGGCGGAATACCGGGTTGGGCTTGCATGTGTGCACAAAGAGTGGGAAACTTAAATGTATACCGACAGCTATGGAGCTCAAAATGTACTTGGGCATTTTGAAATATAATTGGAAGCCAAGAGTCGATATTTGCTTGAACAAGACATTGAACATGGGTGTGAAACACCCGATCCGTTTTGAAATACGTACTGTTTGACCATTTGGTGCCATGATGTCCCGATCTAGTATTAGTCGCCGTCACGAGTGGACGTGTTATCTTTGTGCTGTGGGGTGCGCGCTTAGTAAACACAAACAATTAACTTTGCAAACAAAGCTATATACAAACAAAATAAAATCAAAGTTTTAATTCGTTTCTCATTACTTAACTC